CTCTTCTTAAAAATTTATGGTGAGCTTTGTAAAGTGTTTTTTGTGTTAATCTTTTGGACATGAATAATCTGCAAATCCAAACTTCTCCACGGCACGTAACTACTTACTACTGTCGACCCGAATATTCCTCTCTCTTTTTCAGCCGCCTAACATGAAATAATAAAACATGTTCTTCTCAAAAATGAAATTATTAAAGAAAGTCGCTAGCGAAATAGTAGTGTTTGTCTTTTTCTTTTTTTTGTTCTGTTCTCTGTTTCGTGCTGCAAGACATATCAGAAACCCAATAGACTGAAGAATAAGACAAAACCAAAAAAGAGAGGTAATTTAGATTACCTCAAATCGCTACCACAGACTTAGCATGATCTCTGAGATAGCAGGTGCTAAACAATTAGAGCACTCGACCCGATCAACCACAGATTCTACATTTCAGGGAAGAATCTGGGACAGAGGCAAGACTGCTCTTCTGTATTTTTTACACGAAAGACTTTCTCTCGTGTTTTACTCGGAGAAGATTCATCTCTTCTCTATCGGGGTACCAATATCTTGCTCGAACCCTGGTGGGACTCTCTCTGCATGCCGAGTCTCTACCATTCTTACTGGGCTCGAATTGGTGACTATTGGGTTGTTTTAATTATACTTAAACGAGTATTCGAGCAAGTATTCGACCGGTTAGCTAAAATAATTAAAAAAAAAAAAACCCGAAAATTATTCGAGTCGCTTTTTGTTCATCAGTGTGTAAGTGTGTTTTGTTTATTAGGTTTCGAATTTCGAATCAGAGAGATTTTATTTCCATTCCATATGCAGATGGATCGAATTCTTGATTTTTTCTCTTTCTGTAAGAGTTACTATTAGAGTATAAACGTGTATGAACCCGGTTTGTTCCGGTTGAATCGATATTTCTGTTATTGAAGAAGAAAATGATACAGATTGTTTATATAACTTTGGTTTAGACTTGAACATAACCAATTTACGGCTTAACTGGAACAAACCGGGTTCATACACATTTATACTCTAATAGTTACCTTTTTCCTTTCAATTGTATCAGTGAAATTTTTGTGTAGATTGTGGTACGACTTGTAATCATTCAAGTGCATAATTTCATTATCTGGATACCTTTTGTTGTGGCGATGATGTTTTAGTATAGCGATGA